CACTGGCCTGTCCTATCTCCCCAGGTCACATGTTCTCTAAGACTGCACTGGTCCTGGATAAGGTCCTTTTGTTCATTGGCAAAAAAGAAAAACAAACCCTCCCACCCCCGCGTCTAACAAACGGTTATTTGAGGACCTGGCTTCCTTCATTTTGCATCGTTTCACTTAGAAAAGTTAAAGTTTTCAAGAACCTATGTTGATATGCATGTGTGGACGTGTGTGCATCTCCAGGCATCGTGTGAGCAGGTAGCTGGAGAACCTAAGGCCGCAGAACGGATAGGTTGATTTTGGCTTGGGTTGCACAGCCTTGTTGAGATATAACTTGCAAGCATTAAAATCAGTTTTAAGCATACAGTTAGATGAGCTTTGACAAGCTTACACAGCTATGAAACCACCCGCATGGTCAGGTCCAGAAAATTTGCATCAACCCCAACATTTCCCTTGCGCCTCTGTCATGTCCGCTTTCTTCCTTTGCTCCCCTGCGTCGTCTCTCCTCCCTGGTAACTACTGATCTGCTCTCTCTCACTGACACTTTTCTTTTCTAGAATTTCTTGTCACACACTATAGTGCAGTATAGTTCAATCTTTTGAACCTGGCGGCTCTCACTTAGCGCAATGCCTCTGAGAGACAGCCAAGTCTTCTGTATTATCAGTTCCTTCCTGTTGACTGCTGAGTACTGTTCTACCGTGTGGGTGGACCACGGTTTGTTTATGCACCCTGAGTTGGCCTGTTCTTACCTGGGGGCCACCATTCGTTCTTTGAGGTCCTCTTTCCACCAGAGCTTGTGTTGGCAAATGCCACAGCTCTCTGCAAGCAGGAGGAAGCCCTGATTTGTAGTCTTTGCTGGCTTCTGAGGTAGAAATACTCCCGTGGTGGGAATCTGAAGCGTCAACCTGCTACCACTGATTGTCATTTCCCTCGGCTAGCGAGAGAAAGGAGAGTTCTGGCTGTTCCTTGTCTTTGCCGTCTCCTGGTTCGCCAGTCTCCAGTTTGCGCCATCTAAAACTCCCTTCCTTGTGGTTTTCATTTGCCTTCCCCTGGATAGCACGTGATGTTGAGTGTTTTTCCATGTGCTGCCTGCCTGGATGGTACTTGAGGGCTCTGGGGCCTCTGGGGTATTGCAGGGGTAGGTCATGGGTGCCAGCCTACCCTGGAGGGCATCCGGGCATCCGAGCTGCCACCATTCCAGGACGAGCCAGGGAAGCAACAGCCTTGACCAAGGCCCAAGAGCACACAGTTGCTAAACTCTCCCCGACACTTTCCTTCCCCCTCAAGCCTGGTGGCTGGGGAAGATCGTAATGTTGATGAGAGGGTGTTTTCCAAGTTCATGGAGATCACACTGGATGGGTGAAGGCTCAGACTCAGGTTTTCTCACTCCCGTGCCAGTCTTGCTGATCACACTCACGTCTCAGGGGTTCTGAGGACAGCCCTATTACACAGCTGTGGGAACTGACCTACTCATTCAAATCCCAGGGGAGTGAGTGGCAGAGGTGAGACTTGAACCCCAAATTCTTTGGTAGAGTCAGGCTTCCTGTGCCTCTACCCATCTCTACCCATGGGGCTTGTCCTTTTGTGGGGGGGGGTGGCAGAAAGTCTGCTCTGCCCCACTGAGTTTTGCCCAGGGCCAGAGCTGGGGCTCACAGAGGCCACCAGGAGGAAGCCTCAGTTAACCCTTGGCCTACTGAGCTTCTCTATACACCTGTCCTCTTTCTCTCTCTCTTTATATAAGATATATTTGTTTATACATGCAAGACCTAGGGTGTAGGCCAGAAGTACAGGAGGTGAGACTGAGGTGGGAGCAGAACAGAGCAACTGAAAAACACTGCTGAGGGGAGCAGTGGGTGAGACAGGAGAGGTCTGCTGTGCCATGTGGGTCAGCTCCCTGGCGGCTACCCCTACCCTGGCTGTGGACAGCTTCATAGTGCTGAGATTTAACCCTTGGGCCACCAGGGAGGCCCTTAGAGACCTATTCTCTTAACATGGTGGCCTCAAGCTTACCTGGAGACCTCTGGACGCCCAGTTTCAGGTTACCTCAGTTTGGAGATCAGCAAACCAAGGCATTCCACCATGAAACCCAGACACAGAGTGCCTGCTGGGTCCTGGATTGCATACTCTACCTGCATTTTCAGGCCCCACTTCTGAGCTCAGAGGTTCTCAGCACCTGTCTGGCACATAGTAGACACTCTCTGAATGCTTGTTGTGTAAGTGGATAATTTATGAATGAACAGTTTCTTTCTGAACTGTATTTAAGTAAAAACCCCCAGTAGGAGGGAAATTACATTTATTAGAGTAGTAGTAGTGGCAGCAGTAGTGGTAGTTGTAGCAATAATATTCAGGGGCTTCATACTCATCCACAGCCCTCTGTGCAAATAACATTAATATACCCACTTTATGGGTGAGAAAACAGAGGTGTATGAGGTTGGGTTACTGAGATAGGGTGGGGTGGGGGGAGCCAGGACCCCCACTGAGTCAATGTGAGTGCACATGGCCTCCCTGGCCAGTACGTGAGGAAAGGGTGTGTGATGTTCACAAATGGGCTTCTGGCTTCCAGTGGGCAGTGCGCAGCCTGAGGGCCTGAGCTCCGGACAGGCCTTGGCCCCTTCTGACCCTGGCCGGCAAGAGCAGGCAAAGCAGACGGATGCTGGCCCCAGCGCTGAGTTCCAGACTCCACTAGAGCTGTTTCTCCGCGTTCAGTATCAGCCACAACCGCAGAGAACATCCGCTCCAGAGTATAAGGTCAGGCGTCTCTCCTCCATTCTGTGAGACCCGCCACTGTGGGGTGGGCTTGGGATGGGCTCAAGCCAGCCTGAGTGGAGTGGGGCAGAGGCGGGCTTGAGCCCACCCCACTCGCAGCCATTTACAACCTGTGACAGGCCACCCCCTGGGGTGGGAGGGCTGGAGGGGAGAGTGGGTGGCCAGATGGCAACTCCATTAACATCCAACTTCCTGAAGACCACCCAGGCTTGTCTGAGTCCAGCTTCCAGAAGGAGCTGAGGAGGAGAGGCCATTTACAAAAAGTGGGTCACAGAGAAAGACTAGCGAAACCCCACAGGAGGAGGGCCCCCAAACACACAGAACCACTAGCCAGTGCAGCAGGCCCCTAACTGTTTGGCCACGCGCTGACCCCAGGGGTCCCAGGGACCCTCATTACTTGCATTGCCAGAAACAGACTGGAGGTGGGGAGGGATGCTGCAGCAGGTGGCGGCCTCCTTAAGGTTCCTGGGACACTGTGGGGCCTTCCCTTTTCCAGAAAATTTAGCCCTGTGAGTCTGGCTTCTTGCACTTTGCAGAAAGCATTTGAGGTTTACCTTTGTTATTGCGTGTGCTGGTAATTGTGTCTGTATTATTGCTGAGTAATAGCCCGAGCCTGATGGGAGCTTGTGTTACCAGGGAGTCTCTTGCTGGGACACAGTTTCCAGCAGAGGTGCTCAGTGTGAGTAGAGGTCAGGGTGGGAGGCCACGGCTCCGTGTACTCGCCAGGACCTTTGACCCTCTGCCCCGTTGACCCTTGACCCTTGGCCCCGTTGTCTGGGCCATCCTGGCCCTTTTGATCAGAGACCAGCTTTCAGCCTGGGAGGACCCTGGCATGAACAGGTGCCTGACCTAGGCACCCAGCCCCCACTGGGGTGTCCTGGGAGTCCTCGCCACATGCGCCCCACGGCAATAGTGATACCTGGGGGCCCCAGCAGCAGCCAGGGGCTGCTATCATCTTTCTGTCTTTCCTCAGCCCATTCTGTGGGGGCTTGAAGGGAGGAGTAGGGAGGCTGGTGAAAGGCCACTTGAGGTTGCTTTTCAATGAAACTATCCTTGTACAGGATAGAATTACTTGTATCAAGTACACAAGACTTTTAATCTACTTCGTAATCAAACAGGGCATCGTTCTTGGCCACCAGGAGCCTGAGGAGATAGTGTGTTTCCACAGGTGGGGAAACCGAGGTGCAGGGCCCTTCAGGAGTAACCTATCAAGCCTAGCAGGGCATGGGGGATTCAGCGCCCTGGCTCCAAGGCCAGCTGGCACCTTGGCAGAGGGCAGGGTCAGGGTGCAGTTTGCCGGCAATGAGTGGGGTCTATTGCAGGCATCTCTGTTTCTTTCGGGAATCTGCAATTCACTTCTAGAATGAATTGGGATCTACCAAGACCTGGGGTTTTTTAAAATGTAAATACACAAAGCATTCTATCATGGGAACATGCCCATGAACTTGAACTTCTGTTTGCAGAAGCTAGGTGCCTGCTCTGACCCCACCCCTGGCTGAAGAATCAGCACCCATAGCCCTGGGCTCCTCCTGCCTCCAGCCCTGGCTGTTCCAGTTCTGCCATAGGAGGTTACTCTCCTATGGGCCTCAGCGGCTGCATCTGTGGAAACAGGGGCACTCCTGGGTCCCACTTGTGTCCAGAGTGGCTGTGCCCCTCCAATGAGACAAAGGAGGGAAAGAGCTTGGCTCGGTAGAAAGCACTAGATCTGGGCCTCCCTGGAGGCACAAGGGGTTAAAGCACAGCACTGTGAAGCTCTCTGCAGCCGCTGCAGCACGAGTTCAAGCCCCAGCCAGGGAGCTGACCCACATGGCGTGGCAGACCTCTCCTGGCTCACCCGCTGCTCCCCTCAGCAGTGTATTTCAGTAGATCTGTCTGTTCTGCTCCCCACTCTGTCTCTGGTGAATCCTCTCACCCCCAACCATGCCCCTGTCACCTCTGACCTGCACCCCAGTTCTTGTATGCATAAATAAATAAATCTTAAAAAGAAAACTCTAGACCTGGGAGGAGCAGGCAGAGACCTGGTGTGGCTGGAGACGCACAGTGGGGTGGCATGCACGTTGGGAGCACTTCCTGAGGCCTGGAGCTCCGGGCCGGGCTCTGGACCCCAAGTCTCTGTGTCTCAGGACATTCCCTGGGAAGTAGCATCAGAACTTGGGGCTTAAACCCAATAATCTATGTGACACTATTAGTGCAGTGATGGACAAGGGGAGACCCTTGACCCCCGTTTCCTCTCTCTGCCTCTGCAGGCCAGCAGCCAGCTCCAGTTCATTACATGATAACCGGCGAAGGGGAGGAAGCCTGGCAGGCAGGAGCCGCCACTCAACTGCAGAGGATCCTGAGCCCCCACTGAAAGCAGATCCCCGAGTGTTGGAGCAGAGGGATATCCTTTCACGGGGTATGCACGGGCTGGCTGTGTGGTCTGGGGGGATCGCCTCCTTTTTGGGGTCTGAGCCCTGAACCCAGGAAAAGACAGCAGGTCTGGGGAAGAGGCACTCCAGAGATGGGGACCCTCACCACAGGGTCCAGCTACTGGAGGAGGAGGGAGAGAAGTCTTGGGAAAAGGTGAGGGAGGGTACCCCTGGGGGTACCCCCTTGGGGACCACTCATGCTGTGCGCTGTGGGGGTCAGCCCAGCAGAATTTGGATGCTTTGGATTTTCATTCTTTCTTTATCTCTAATTTTCTTTTATTTACATTTATTTATTTAATTTTAGAAGATTTATTTTATTTACTTATGCACACCAGGGCTGGGGGTATAAGCCAGAAGTGTGGAGGGTGAGAGGATTCACCAGAGACAGAGTGGGGAGCAACTGGCAGATGTACTGAAATACACTGCTGAGGGGAGCAGAGGGCAGGTCACAAGAGGTCTTCTGGGCCCTGTTGGTCAGCTCCCTGTTGGGGGGGGCAGTGTCTAACGGATAACATGACAGAGCTGAGACTTAACCCCTTACGCCACCAGGGAGGCCCCTAATTTTCTTTTAAAACTAAAGTTCTGTTCCCTCCTCACCTTCCCCAGCTCCCAAACACAGAATTCACCTCTACATTTTGGAGAACACCAAGCAGACATCACAAACCCCAGAAAGGTGGGAGACTCGGCCAGTCTTTGTCCATCATGTACATTTTGTTTTAATCAAAAAGGAGACGATTTGGCGTCCTTTTTTCTGTTTCTGTTCTGTGACAATGCTGGTCACTGGCATGGTTTCATCCTATGGTGATGGCGATGCCCAAACCCAGCAAGCCCATCTCTGGGGCACTTGGCGGTTTCTAGTTTCCTGCTGTGACACAAATGGGTGTTTTCCTAAGGGCACATTCCCTAAGTACTAGCTCCGGGTGAAAGGGGGCGCACACCTGACTGGCTGACTGGCAGACGCCACACGGGCACACGTCCTCGTCAGAAGTGCTAACCGGCCCGCACAGGCCAGGCCTCGGGCGTCCTGACAACGGCCCAGGGTCCTTCTAGGGCATCCTTGGTTCCAGGAGGGTTGACGCCTCTCCGTGCACTGTGCAAGGGCCGTGGACACACAGAAATTTGGACAAATTTGATTTGGGAATCTACAACCACACCACGCCCTGCCCAGCTGGTGGCTCCTTTCTCTTCCAGGCCAGGGGCTCAGGGCATATGACCCTTCCCCAAACCAGAGACAGCTGAGAGGGGCCCTGGGGAAGGCAGGGGCAGCCCCTCCTGGCTGAGCTGGGGATGCAGAGTCAGGACTGCGGGGGTGGTCATGACTGATACCAAACCCAGTGGTGTCCAGTGGCATCAGCAGGCAGGCCCCAGAGCACAGGCTGGGGGTCCCCTGCTCCCCATCATCTGTTTGCATGTGTTTTAAGCTACTTAAAACACAAAAGAGGTCCTCTCTCGAGGCAATAGGTTAGGCCGAAGCACTGTAAGCTGACCACAGACGCTTCAGCGTGAGTTCGATCCCTGGTCCCGGAGCTGACCCACATGGCTGGCAGACCTCTCCTGACCTCCCGCTGCTCCCCTCAGCAGTGTACTTTGTCATTCTGCCTGTTCTGCTCCCCACTCTGTCTCTGGTGAATCCTCTCATCGCCCCTACACCTCGGGCCTGTACCCCAGCTCTATATGCATAAATACAAATCTTAAAAAAAAAACACAAAAGAAAACACAAACTATTGGTTTAATTTGTGCCCCCCATTTTTCTCCCATTTTACAGATGAGGCCACTGAGACTATGTGACAAAAATGGCTTGACCAAGGTAACACCAGGTTAGTAACATCCCATGATGGAAAGAGTCTCCAGGCCCCCCATTATCCTTCAGGTGATTTGAAACCTCCACCTGTGGGGAGGTTATCCCCACCCTCTGTAACTCCCAGTTCCCACCTGCCATTCTAGGCCTCCCAGACCCATCCTGACGGTCATAGGTCTTCTGTAAAGAGACCTATGCTCTTGACTCCCTAGACTGAGTCTTCCTGCCTCAGCTCTGCTCACACCAGCTCTCCTGGCCACCCCCAGTCCACCCATCCTCAAAGTGGCTCCCTCCTGGAAGCCTTCTCTGATTCCTAGCCAGAAGTACCTTCTCCCCACTGCCATCTGGCCAGACCCATCCCCTGGAGACGGGGTCAGGGAGTGGGTGGGGGGCGCTGGTGGAGGGAGGGTCCTTCTTCCTGGTTCTAGGCCTCATGGGGCCTTCTTGTCAGGACAGGAGGCCAAGACTTTCTAGGCAATTCTGTGGGCAGTGGAGGGGTGACGTCAAGAAGATAGAGGATGAACTGGGGCAGAGGAAATAGGGAAAAGAGATGGGTAGAAATCCCAGGGCCTGGTCCCGCTGCTCGTATGGGCAAGGGCGCTCACAGCGCTCTGTGGCTCATAGGCTGAGAGAGGAGTCAGAGGCCCTGTGTCCAAGGGCACCAGACACGACACATCTTGTGCCACGGCTGACCGTGAGGGCGGGGCAGCGTGGCGCTTGGGCCAGGGTGAGGGCAGGCTGGGGTCCCAGAAGTAGCCATGTCCCTGCCGGCTTCCTCATGGAGGATCCTCGTGGGGTCAAAGGAGGCAAGAAGTGAGAAGTGAGGATCCCACCCCACACCTGGTAGCTCATGCCACCTCTTTGTGCCTCAGTTTCCTTAGTGAAGCGGGGGGGGGGGGGACAGTGCCCCCTTACGGGGAGAGTGAAGCTGAGCCCAGGTGTGGAAGGCTCTCGGCACAACACAGTGTGTGACAGGTGCCGCTCTCCCAAGCACCGGCGGGGTCTGCTCAGGGCCCCCCGTGTGGTCAGCCTCAGATGCTGTGGGTGCCACGTGGGGGCTCTGCACTGTCAGCCCTGGTAGGGAGGGTCTGCTGGCTTGTGAGGTGACCTGCCCTTAGAACCCCACAACAGGGAGGCCTGAAGGAGGGGGTGGGGGCCCGTCAGCCTCAGGGGGCTGCACAGGGGTTCATGAACCCCATCAGCCCAGGCCAGGCAGGAAGCAGGAGCAGCCCGAGCAGGTGGGTGTGGGAGGGCCTGGGCGGGTGCCTGGTGCCTGTATTCCTGCTCCAGCCTGGCCCGAGGCCTCAGGTGTCACAAGGTAATTGCAGCAGTTGCCTTTCCACAGCACTTCCTATGGGGGAGGGGCAGAGAGCTGCCGGGAAGAGGGGGTGGGCAAGCTGCCACCCTGGCCCTTGAGCATGGCCCCAGAATGCTGGGGGGCCTGTTCCACGCTGGCCCAGAGCCCTGGGGTCTCCGGAACAAACACGCCTGCTGAGGGAGAAGCCCCAGACAGAGCCGTGGATGGCCCGGGCCTCTTTAGAGAGCAGATTATCTTTGTTTCCCCCTGCGTGAAGGTACAGCGCCTACACAGGTATTAGCTGTGGCCACCTGCTTGCAGCATTAATTTGCTCGTCCAGTGTTCCAGCCAGTGGCGCCGGCAGCAAAGGGAATTTCCTTTGAAGTTGACAGCCGCCGAGATTGGAGCCCTGAGACTGATTCTGTCTCCTTCAGGTGGCAGCTGGCTCCACCTACCCGCTCCACCCCCACGCCGAGGGTGTGTAGTGTCACCCTAGCGCAGGGGCCTCCCATGTCATGTCTGTCCCAGCAGGCCCGCCCCGTGCATCCATCACAGGCGCCCGGTGCCTCCCAGGGCTGCAGCAGGACAGCATCAGGAGAGACACCGAGCAGCACTTCCAGCAGGCATCTGAACTGAGGGAGGCTGTGGTCGTGTCCCTAAGTTCTTTGGGGAAGCACTCCCAGGCCTGGGTACTCAGAATCGAACAAGGAACCTAGGGCACCCACTAATGCC